GGGCAGGAGGCTCCTCCCGCCTTGGAGCATCCTGCCGAGCTGCGCCGCCCCCGCTTCGCCCTCTCCCCAAAACGCGCTTCAAACCGATTCCGCGTTGCGCCCTCAACATCAGGAGGTTGTTCAGGAAGGGTTGGAAGGAAATTCCCAGTTTTTGGAGGGACTTTAAGCAGTTCAAAATTTAGGCTTCCAGAAGTGATTCATATCGTGTTTCCATTCTCAAGCAGATTTATCATTTAATTACGACTTTTGAATCCCTATAAATAGCCTGTTTCTTTAACTGTGTGATCATAGTTACCTCTGAACTCTTTATAAAGCTGGACTTCATGCTGTGCTTTGGATGAAAACTTTGTATTTGTATTCTGAAAAAACATGTTATAAAAAAAACCAAATAAAGCAAACATATAGGTCTGTATGAAAGGCAAGACAGGGCAAGGGAAGTTTCTTGTGGTTTTGGGGTTTTGTTTTGTTTTAGGAAAAAAAGAAGTCACTTCATACCCCTTGAAGGTTTTTGGTGGTAAGTAGTCCCAGTTTTTAGCATGGATGTGGTATCTGGCAATTGCAAGACAAGCTTATCAGTGAGTGCACAGCAAAGGCAAGCCTGGGGTGTCCATCCAGTGTCTGCGCAGGAACTGGATATGCTGGGAGTGCTGCTGCTGGAGTGGCTGAAGTAGAAACTTCAGGACTGGAGCTCATCACAGACCTGTAAATGCATCACACAGTGAATGAAGGCAAAGGAACTTAGGGAAGCTGGAGGCTGGATTTAGCCAAACAAGTGGGACCAGGTGTCCATGAGACTTGTACTGGCGCAGGCTGTGTTGCTGTGGCTTTGCTGCTGTCACAGAAATTGAAGCTAGCTAGATGCAAAGTAGCACTGGCTTCTACTTCTCATGCTTTTATATAGAAGGTCTAACGAGCTGGCTAAAAAACATTTATAGTGGGCTTTTTTCTTTTATTGCCAGTTGTGGAATGACTCGTATTCAGATCAGAGGGATTGACTAGATAGGATACAAGGGACTATTTCAAGTGCAGTCTTCTGATTCTGCTGGGAGACAAGTCTCTAGTTTGTTTTGTTTTTTGATTGCTTCAAATTGCCACATGAGAAGAAGCAGCAAGTCTAGGAGGAGGGTCTTTGCTTTAAGTTGTTACTGGGAAAAACGGCTTTTCACACTTAGTGCATTGCCAATCCACTGCAGCAACTGTATTCCTGTTGCCTTCTCTTTCCATCTTCTCCACAGGCTACACAAGTACATCTCCCAGGCTTTCCTGCTGTGTTGTATTCCAGCCCACTGATTGATTCTCCTGCTGATAGGCCTGTGAAAACCTGATGCATTTCACTCTTGTTTTAACGTTCTTATATAAATTGCTAGTTTTGTTGAATGTCTGTTTTACTTTCTGCAAGGTGTTGATGCCTTTTACAAAGGTGATATGAGTGCATGGGGCTACACAGGTGCTCAACAGTTCAGATTTGAAGTTAATGATTGATGCTTCAGTGAAGCCACAGTGAAAATGAGTAGCTTCTTGGTCCCATTATTGTCTTCTGGTACATCAAATCTTTGTCTTCTAGGGTTGATTTGTGAAGGGGAAGCGAAGAAGAGAAATCAGCCATTCACTAACAGAATGTTGTATAATCCTTGTCTCCCTTTCCTTGGGAATACTTGAATTTGGCTCCCGCGCTCTATGTTCAAAATACTCATATTGGTTTAATTTAGTCCTGAACTCATACTAACAATAGTACAAACATTGCTCTGTAGGCATGGATGGAGTTTCCATATGTTGAGTGTAACATTAAAAGCATTAACATAGGAGATATCCGCACCCCATCCCTCCAGTGCAGACAGCTTTCAAAAGAAAGTAGCCAGTAAGTACTCAAGGCCACTATAATAGTGTCTTGTATAAGAGCATGAGCGTCGTAAAGCATTCTTGTATCACACCATGAAGTACAAGCATACCTGACTTGCTGGAAAGCTTATTCCAGGTTGTGCAGAACTTTGTAACCTCCTGGAAATGTCTGAGATTCTTAAGCACATTTTATAGTGTCTGAAGACCTTGCCACGAGAGCTTAATGGTTCTGGTAAGCTTCAGTGTGTGCAGAATTTAGTCCACAGTGACCACTGGAGATGAAAAGGGACGTGTGTGTGTGTGAAGAAACATGCTCCATTTGGAACTCTTTATGAAGTAAGAGTATTGGTGTAAGGGAAGGAACAACTATTGTGCAGGGCAGGTCAGCCTGTCTGGATTTAAACTTTCATGCGTAGATCAAAAAGCTGAGAGGTTAAAGACTAAATCTTGCATTGTTTTTTGAACACTTGCTTTCACAACTCTTGAGCATATTTGTAGTATGTGCCCCACCTAACTTCCTTCAGCTGTTCTCCCTGCTGCAGAGTACTTCCCTTTCCTGTGTGACTTTTCCTCTCCCCATTCTGTTTCCACAGCAATCAGGACTTTATGAATATAAAATCTTTGGTGGTCTTCCTGATTGTTCCCCAAAACTGTGTGCGGATGTCTATATGGACTTAGATTTCAGAAAGCAGTGGGATCAGTATGTTAAAGGTAAGCTCATCCAGGCAGTTTAAAAGCAAGCTTTATGGCCACGTTGACTCTTCATACTAAAACTTTATTCAAAGGTATTTTGAAGTTGCTACATCCAAAGACTTTGAGCCAAACTTAAGTATCTTTTGGGATAGCGTTATACTCTACAAATACACAAGTAAACACTGACATGGAGCAGCTAATGTCACCATATAGCTTTCTTCTGCAATGAATTATTTCCATGTTGGTTAAAGCATATAATTGGCATAACTTGTTGTGTTGGGGTGCCTTGTAGCTTCTAGTAATTTCTGGGTTAAGTTTTAGTAGATGTTCTGGGGAGATGGTACCTTTTGTGCATCATTGCATGTTGTAGCAGGGCAATGCAATCACAGAATCGTGGAATACTGGGTTGGAAGGGACCTCCTGGATGATCAGGTCCAGCCTTTCTTGTCAAAAGCACAATCTAGACAAGATGGCCCAGCACCCTGTCCAGCCACATCTTAAAGGTTTCCGATGTTGGGGAACCCACCACTTCCCGTGGGAGATTATTCCACTGACTGATCTCATTGAGAAGCAATTTCCTCTGGCTTGCACCAGTTTTATGCATAATAGAATGTGTTTTCCTCAAAGAGCTGGCTGTTCTTTGTATCTTTTCATATATAAAAACTTAGTTGTGTTTATTTAACGTCTTTGAAAAAAGGAGTTTAACCCGGATATCCATATGATGTTCAAACTCCTTAAGTCAGCAGTGACAAGGTGTGGATTTAGCTGATATAGAGATCTGGTAATCCATTTATTTTAAAGGTGGGGAGCCTTGCCCTGTTGTTACATTGCTGTTAGCACCCGTTAGTGGCTATTTCCAGAGCAGGCTTCTGGGCATCTGCAAGATGTGGACGTGCTGCGGCCTGGTCTGTGCTGAAGCTGTCAGTTCAGCTGTGACTAAGCGGTAGAGTAGTGACTGAAGTGCCACGTGCTTGTGTGGCACGATCCGAAATGGTTGGGCCTACATGATATCGAAACTTGCTACTCCTGATTGCAACACCATCCTGACTGAGATCACACTTCCCAACAATTTAACAACGGTAATTGACTGCTAAGGCAGCAAATGCAGCTGTGTCTACTATGAGTAAAATGGACTTGTGATCCATTGTAGTAATGCTAAGTGAAATCTGGTTATTGGTTAAAATGCCCAGTATTCTGCTTTGATAGAAGCTGTCCACTAGTATTAACAGACTAAACTGAATGTGGAGGGAACGTGACTTTGTCGCTATTGTGTGTTTCTTCTGTGTTTGCAAAGACACAAAGGTAGATGAGGCAGCAGCTAACAGTTGCATTGAAGCCTTTAAAATAAGGTCTTAATCCTTTTGAAACAGGAAAGCTCTGCAGTTAGAAATTAGACCAATGCTTCAGTGACCTCTGGTGGATAGCATAATGCTGTAGCTTATTGTAGGCCTGGGAGCATCCAATACTGCTCCAACCTGGCGGAGAAGCTGTTTTTTGTGGGTGACAGCTGACTTGCAGGGCACACTAACTGAAGCCTGGTTTGAAACGTGTTGTGTAATCTTTCGTCTGTGGCACTCTTCTTGCCCCAGCAATGAGACTATCGGTCTGTTCTAGCCTTATTTTCAAAACTAGTGAAAGGGATGTGGTAGACTGGGCATTAGCTCTGAGGGATATATAGCACCTCAGGCAGAAGTCGGCTCTAAAGGAGAAAAAGAGCACTCTGAGTGTTAATGTAAACCACCTTTCTGGGTCTCACACCCTTTTTAACTGCACCTATGTAATGATGAGTCCCTGAGCAAGCAGGAATTTATGCTGTCTCAGCCCCAGGGCTTGTCACGTCCATTACCCTCATGTTTTAGGGACTACTTCTAGATATCTTTATTTTTCCTATTCCATTGCCGTCTGATTTTCCCGGCAGACTGAAGGTGATGTAATGAAGGTTCATAAACTGCTCAAGCTTCTTGTTCACTGTTGCCTGTGTATAGTACTGCGACATTCCTCACAGCTTTTTCCAAACTTCATTAATCCCTCATGTAAGGCATTTTCAGGTATTAGAAAGCAGTACTTGTCCTAGTTTCATGTCAACTCTGAATCATTTACAAGGATAATGACATGCTTGTGAAAAAGCGTACTATACTTGCGTCTCGGAATTCTACAGAGCATGCACAGGTGAGGAAAAGCTTTGAGATGGAAAGGCTTTGAAGGAATTCGACTCTGCCTCCCCCCCAGAATTGTTCTGCTTTTGTGGTTTGAGTGGGGTTTTTGTGGTTATGGGTTTAGGTTTTTTTCAATTAATTTAATAGCAGCAGAAAACAGACCACCCACTTTTGTGCATTTGATTCCTGAACAACCCTGTTACATAATGTCTTTTAGTGTCTTCCACTGCAACAGCTTTACATACCTATAAACTTTGACAGAAGGGTTGCAGGTAAAATGTGTTCATGTCAGAAGTCTGAGCAGTTCTTGAGGCTGTGTATGGTTCTGTTGCAGTAGAAGTTAATATCTAACAACCTTCCTCTTTCAACTGTAGAACTCTATGAGAAAACATATGACGGTGAAAAGGTAATCTACTGGGAAGTGAAGTACCCTTTTCCTCTCTCAAACAGAGATGTATCCTTTGAAGATTTTTGTTCCTTTTGCAGTTTTTGTCACCTGGTCACCCAGGGATCCTGACAATGTACTGATTCAACTGCTCTGCCACACTTGATCTGAGATTTTGCAGTCCTCATGTTACGTGAATATATATAACATGAAGAAGAGTGTGGGTGCCTCTTCCCACGCACAGCTAAAGCTCACTTAGCTGAATTATTACTCTACATCCATCCCTCCTGTAGAAACATAAGAAATAACTTGAAGGGGATGGTATTTATAATTAAATTGGCTTGTCAATTCATCATATGTCAAGCTGACACTGTTTTGACATGCCTCCTCAACTTGGAATACAGTATGTCTATATTCGTGAACGTCGAGAGATGGATATTGATGGGCGGAAGATCTGGGTTGTGTTGGCTCAGAGTGTGTCTGTTCCTCAGTGCCCTGAGAAGCCTGGTATTATCAGAGTTAAAAGCTATAAACAGAGTGTGGCAATTGAAAGTGATGGCAAGACTGGATCTAAAGGTAAGAGGTTAAGAAAGTATGATCACAAGTCATGTACCCAAAGAATGTATCTAAGAGCAAAATGCACCAAGAGGGAGACTGGAAATTTTAATGCAGTTACTATAAAATGGATGTGCTGAGCACCAGGACTACTTTAAAATGAATGATACTTCTGGAAATGTCCAGTGCAGTGTACTTCTGTTAAGAACATTTTATTTAACAGTCTAGGTAGCTAAGAACAGACTACTGGCCACTTCATTCTGACTCCCCATCCCACACTTCTTTTTCTGCCAGCTAGTTTAGTTGAGTCTGATGCTGCTTGCAATTTGGTTAACCCAGCAATGATGTAAGTATCATGTTTGACAGATACATAGATTAGAGGGCTTGTTTTCCTAGAGATTGACTCCTGTCGTAGTATTTTAGACAGCCTTGTTCTATAAGACAGACTGTCTAAAATGGCTTGCAATAGTCTAAATGAATACTGTGGTGCTTTCAGCTTCCCAGAGGTTAACTGGGAGTGGCTGTACTTCACATTCTACTTCAATGCAGGTTGGTTTTTTTTGTGAAAAACTTTTGGGCAGAGCTGTTGTACTTAGTGATTCAGTTGTGTACACCAACAGCTTCTGTCATACAGTGTTACAGCTGATGCTCAGAGGGTGGCTGGATAACTTTCTCATAACTTCTCTCTCACCTCTAGTCTATATGTACTATTTCGATAATCCCGGTGGCATGATTCCATCATGGTTGGTGAACTGGGCTGCCAAGGTAAGTAAAGGTTGACAGCAGAACTGTCTTTGGCTGATCTGTTTCAACCAGTGTGCTCACTGCATCCTTACCTGTGTCTGCATGTTGGGTAGAGTTAGTTTTTTCTGAAATGGATGTATTGACCTTTCTAGCTCCTATGCAGTCCCGTTTTAAGTCTCACTACTGTCTGCTTTCATTGCAGTTGGCTCTTTTTTTAAAAAAAAAATAAATTATTTTTAATTTCCTGACAAATTCCTGTTCTTAATCAACCAGGCAGGTAAAGTTGTGCAACCGAAACAAGAAATTCATATTCCAGAGCTTTAACACCATTAAACTTCAATAATGCAGGCTGTTCGTGAAGGATTAAAGAAATGGTCTGCTGCTTTATACAAGATCTTAGACTTGTCCTGTATTTGTTTGAAGGGAATTGTCATTTTGCTTATAGGTTTTCTTGACTACATTATGCAAGAATGACTTTTCTGCTTTTCTCTTTACAGAGTGGTGTGCCTGCCTTCTTGAAGGATATGCAAAAAGCTTGCTTTAATTATTCTAAGAGCACATAAATCAAAGTTCATCTGAATTGTTTAGTTCCTAGAGTTCTGCACTTGCAGGAGTGGCTATTGTGTACTACACTGGATAAAATCTACCTCTGAGATTAGAAAAAAAATTATTTTAGTTGTTTTATGCCTTGATTTTTATTGATCTTTGCTTCCATCTCCGACTGAAGAGCTAGCCACTGACAAGGTAACACCAACATCAGCTGCATCATTTTGAAAGTACTTAAGTTTAGCCGTGTCCCCCATGCTGATTGTCATGTGTCAGCCAGAGGAGCTCTGCTGATTTAAGTATTACATCCTCAGGCAAGAGACAATGCTCTTGCTAGGAAAAATGTCTGAATTTGGACTGAAAGTTCTCTACCCGTGTTATGCTTGGATCTGCTTTTGTGGCCTTTCAGGGTGGCTTCCTACTGAAGTTGAATAAAGGAACTTGCCTTGCTTAGGAGCTTGCTTTTGCTACCCAGAGTTTGCCATTCTTAAACTGTCTGCCTGATGTAAACCTAAAAATTGCTGAGGACACATAGGTAAATTACTGGAAGTCTGCAGCAGGAACTGGAAATCACGTGTTACTAAGCTTCCTTGTGATGGCTTTAAGTCCAGATTCAAAAGGATTTGTGCCTAAAACTTTGTATTCACATCTCAATACCTCTGTATCAAAAGTATAAACCATTAGCTGAGTGCAGATAGAAAAAAATAAAAGGAGGAGTTGACTTCCATGTCTGGTTTAAGGGGAACAAATTATATCTTCAGAGTCAGTAGCCTTATCTAAAGCAGCTTGAATGCCAACTTTAAATTTTAAGGAGTTTTAAACTGGAAGCCTGCAATTAAATGTGAAACTTAGGCTTGCATTTTTAAATTTCATGCTCATGTAAAGAATGAAAGTGTAATTTTAGATGCTGATCCGCTAAAAGCACAATGAGCAGGAGATTAAATTTCCAACACCTTTGGGGTGGAGGGGGCAGGAGAGGAGGATGGACTACAGAAAAGATGAGAGAGCCTCAGTCTCAGGGATTTAAAATATTCTGCGTCGTTACTAAATCTAATCTTGTTATGGAACAAATCCTGTAATGAAGTAGCTTTGTCTTGTAAAAAAATAAATGATTGAAGTGATTGCCTTTATACGTTGTGTAAATATTTGTTTCCAATAAATCATTATTCTGTCCATGCAGTGCTCTTCTGTCCCTTGTGTCTAAGAGTGGCCGTGCTGGGGAGGTCACAAATGACAGGCTAATACCATGTGCTGCTTTATTTTTAAAAGCTTTTGAAGGAAAAACTTGGATTCATGAGAATTAAGTAGGATTTTGTCTGTTCTGAAGAGCTTACTGCCAGAAGTTTAGGCACTTTTTCAAGTGCTTGAATTGGAGGCCATTACTGACTTGAATATTATAGTGCAAGACAACTTTCAATTGGTTTTAAATTTAGCTGTCACGTGGCTTTTTTTCCCAGCAGATAAAGAACAAACATGGAGAGAGAGGAGTTTTGAATCATAATTTTCTCGAATTCCCATAATTTTTGTACACATGTGCTCACTGGAACTGGAGACAAATTTTTATATACATATGTACTGAAAATGAATTATCTCCGTCATACCAAGAATATGATCGTGTTTTACCTGAGTATATACATTCTCAAATTTGGGTTTTGGCAGTATTGAAAAAAAACTACTTGAGATTTCAGAAAGCATTTTAGCAATGTGCTAAGTATGTAGGAATTCAAATGTCATAAGCAATCACAGAGTACGAGAGTTGCTTTTGAACTGGATGTGGATACAAGTGATGTCCTGAAGCAAAGCAGCAAAGGTGAGACCAGGTAGATTGTTCAAAAAGAAGATAGAAATAAAACCAAGCTATTCTAGACTTGATAAAACAGAATTTTAAAAATGAACTAGCTGAGAATGAATCTTCCTGGAACAATTTGCACCTGGGATCTTCCTGGTGCAAACTAACTGTTTCCAATTCCTTCTGAACAGAACTGACCTCTGTTTCACAGCAGTACAAAACTTATCTGTAAATTGTAAATGTGTGCCTAGTGAGCTGAGTATGTGCATGGAGATGAAACATGTACAGATGATGTAATTTTTTTCATTCTTTTTCTCCAACCAATCCATAACTTTGTTCAGTCTTCAGCTGAAGTGAAAGCAGGAGAAAGAGTGAAAGCATTTTATATTCATAAATTCCTGATTGCATCTTTGCCATTATTGTTATTTGTCATCAGGACGTAGTATTTGTCTGCAGTAGGCTGAAACCATGAGATCGAGCGTTCAAGAGGCTCAATGGCTCTGTTGTCAGTCTTGCTGAAAACTTCATTTCCTACAGATCCTACACTGAGAGTATAGAGTATATGGCCTTTGCTCACGTATCCGTATTGAAATCATTGCACAGGAAGTTTCTTGTGCTGTACACAACTTTCCAAATTAAAACACATTTAGTTAAATGGTAGCTACCGAAAACAGCTTTTCTTCTATTTACAAGCAACAAACCAGTGATGTGCGATGAAGCAACATCAGATCTGTTAAATTTAGGTCCCTACAGGTTTGCAGTTTGTTTAAATACATGTTATTGCACCTATCTAGGGGAGAAAAAGCAGTTCCAGCTTCGCATCATCCGGCTTCTCGTTTAAATGGGACTTTACGACCAGAAAGAAAGTGTTGGTATTTTTCAGTTTTTGGATGTAAAGACGTTCATAAAGCATCTTAGAGCTTTATTCATGACTGAGTAAATATTGATCTTGTATAAATTATATTTTTCTGGATACCTTGAACAGAAATGTACCTATTGTGAGAGTTGTAAGTCATTATGTGTTATGAGTTCTGGTACACAGGGTTAAAAATAATGCCCCCTCCCCTCCCATGATGTTTGTTACTGTAGCAGCCGAAAGTTACCTTGGTGTTTTCATGAGCTTGCCTAAAAATGGAGCACAAAGTTTGCTCTTTTAGAGTGACCTATTGTAAACACAAGAGTTGTTTAAATAAAAAGAATGAAGCATTGGTTAGATGATGATTGAGTCTCTCATCTTCTATATCCCACCCCATTAACGGATCGGTAGGTATCTCACTACAGGTTAATAGGAACTAAGGAAGTTTTCCGAGTAGCCAAATAGAACTAAAAAAGTGCTGTAGTTTCTGGCAATAAACAGGCATCTGATCCAAAGCACAATAATCATATTTTCTGTAAATCATAATGAGCTTTAGATCTACTCTCATATATAACTTTTGTTTTTAAATTGCCAGCTCTGACAAAAACAATTTTGTGCACGTTGCTCTTCACATAAAGAAGTAGTTCTTTCTGAGGCTGACAGGTCACCCACCCCGTTTCCATGAGGAGCGGTGTTACAACAAAGTGAATATAAACCATTCTTCTGCATTGTGTTCTCCTCGTTCAAATCCATTCTTTCCATGTGATCTCCCTGTAAAACGATTGTATTTGACTTGGAAGGTAAAGTAGAGGAAAGATTCTGGGTAACCCAAAGTCAACACAGTGAATGATGTCAGATACGCGATCACTGCAGTGCTGCCTCTCAGAAGGTGATGTGTAAAGGGAAACACAAGTTGTCTTTGCTCAGGAAACATCTGGTTGATACTTAATTTCTCAAGCAGGTCATCGGCTGTTTTTATAATTTAGTGGAACAAAAATGTGGGAAGATAGGGGGATAGACTTCTGATATTAATGCACACTAGTAGATGATCTATCTTCCCACCAACACTTTTGCTTCCCATTATGTTAGCATTCTATGCATAAAGAACATTTTCAAATGGCTGAGAGTAATCTCTACCTGAGCACAGATTTGCTTTCCTCTAGATAGGGGGGAATAATTTACTGCCCCACTGTACACATCAGATCAAAGGAGACTACTAGACTTTTAGACAGAAAACTTTGATTTTCACTCATCTCTAAAAGGTTAAAAGACATTGAAAACTTCCATGTAAAAACAGAAAGGAAGGCTTATGACAGGAGGTAAGCTGTTATAAATCTAGATGGACTATATAGAAGATAAATGCTTTCTGAGGAGCAATTACAAGAACAAATCTCTATAGCAGGATGAGTTTTGCTAAAATTTTTTATACCACTCTGGCTTATAACTGCAGACTTAGGCAGGATGCTGACCAATAAGGTAAATAAAGCTGGTTTTCAAAGCAGCTTACAAATTCTTCTCTGCAGCTGCCAATTAATATATTGATTATGGTTACATATGAACCCATATGCACACAAAAAGAGAATGTTGTCTTTCTCTATTAGTTCAGTATTCCCTGTTCTTTGGGAACCTGACTACAAACAATTATTTTCATCTGGAATCTAAATTACAAAGGTATCCTGTAGTCCCGCTGTGAAACAGGAACATCATAAATGGGAACACCTCTCCAATGGAAACCTTCATTTCCAAAGAAAGAAGAATTGCGTCCTGTGAATAAGTGTTTCAATGGAACATGCCATAATAAGCAATTATGTTGAAAGGCCGTGAATATAGATATTAATTTTAGCCTTGTGAAAAATTTCCTGCACCCCAGCTGTGCAACAGCTATGCTGAAAGCTGTTCCTACAGTTTAAACATGAGTACCTGTAACGTTAAATTTCAAGTTACTTTGTCTGTCCTCACCAGATTTCATGCAGATTTTTAGATTTTTCTAAGACCTGTTCCATCACTGAAGGCAGAAGATGTTCTATTATGGGCTTTGTGACACTGAAAGAGAGGTTTTGCCCCAAGCTTAATTCTCTTATTATTCTTAATCTATGGAAGAAGCTCCATTTTAATACATTGTGTTTTTCCTAGAATGCCCTGTTTTGAATTGTAGCAGTTCTTCTATAACATGGAAGGCCACGTGTATTATGTGCTGTGCATACTTTCAGGAGATGCCTCCTGTTAATTCACAAGGCTCACTGCACATCTGCCTAAGCGTATCTTGAAAGGTTTCTAAGTCTTTCCCTGTTTCACCCAGAGTTGTGGGGTTTTTTTTTCCTGGTGCATATCCATAGCTTTCAAAGCATGATAGAAATTGTGTGTAATTGGCTGTAAATGGATGTTTCATATTCAGTTACGATTTGGAGCTATGGTTTAAGAGTGAGTTTTAAACATTTTTATTAAGACCAGGCTGCTGCT